TTCTGGTTGCTACTTTTCTGCTTATCACATTCAGTCAAAATATTAGGGCCAGCATTATACAACCGTTTGTTATATGACGCGATTGCTGGCAGTCCAGAATATGTATCGGATTCCGACCCTAATGCTATTTTGTTTGCCTTTACAGGAGGCGGACCGACTTCGCGAAAGAGAAGCGGAGCGTTTGTGTAACGAAGTTGCGGCTCGCGAAGCGACCGAGAAGCTGCACCGCGTTGAGAAGGAAAACGCTGCCCTGGAGGCTCGCCTTGCGGAAATGGGGGAGTCAGAGAAGCAGAAGGAGGACTTGAAGGCCCAGCTAACAATGTACGTGTGATATATTTAAGTATTATGTGCGTATGCAATGCCATGCTTCAGCAAACCATAATTCCTGCGGCATGGTATGCGCTGTCAGGTTTCTTGGATTTGATTCCCTGTCGGTTTATGCGTTTGCGCTCCCACTGAGATTACAGGCCGTGTACGTAGCTGCCCGGTTAACTGTATCTTCTCTCCCTCTCTCTCTCTCTGTCGATTGCATCCTCGTTTGCGGCTGTATCAAGCAAACAGATGCAGGTCCATCCGATGCCGCTCCAAATCACGCCTTTCATCTCCTATCCTATCACCCAATTTGGAACCTTTCTCTATGCATATGCATCAGAGTTGATTGTTCACTAGTAGTACTCCGCACTCCGACCTGCCTTGCGTAGTTATCAGTGCTATAAACGATATACGTAGACAGCGTGTCAATAGGACAGAATAAAAAAGCCAAATCGACGGGAGGCACTCTACTCGGTGCATTGAAAGATTTGGCCGGAGGCCTGTATCGTACTATGTGTATTACAGCCCGAGTCCTTTGCGACCGAGCGGTTTGTAGCGTTGAACTCTAGCCTAGAGATTTTAAGTCGAGCACCTCATCGTACAAGTAGCCCCTCCCCCTTCTTCTATGGAGTCAAGCCATAATGCCGGTTTCTACTCGCTCTGTTGAGTCTTTTCAGCCCTGCTTTCCATTCACTCGGTCTGCTTTCCTCACGTGTAAGCCCATCTGTAAGTCCATCTGGTTTGTCTCCTTTTTATAACTCAAGTTCATCTAGGTAATAGGCGACAGTATGGACGCAAACCGATCCCAGAGCAAACAAGGTCGGAATAAATCTACCCGCACCTCTTTCGTTACCTCTGCAAACAACTCTGCTCCTAAGGTCTAGGTCAGCCTGTCGTTTGCTTGCCGAAATTCACACTGATAGGAAATACGGGGCAAATAGCTAGGCAGATTGAGAATAGAAACAGGTACAAACGATTACCATTTGACTGAACCGTCGTAACTTCCAAAAATAACTACCCCCTGTTTTTGGTTTCAGCTGTCCCCCACCATCGCATTCTACCGATTCCATTGGCTCCTTTTATACTCTAGCCATTGAGGCTATTGAACTATCACACCAGACCTTCTGTTAATCATACTAGCTCCAGCGAACGATATAAATTTATTTAATCGAGAACTTATATCGCCTACAGGCTACAAGCATCCTACGACGACCTACTGCATTTGAAGTCTGACCTGGAGTACTGCCAACGACGAGAAACTCAACTCTCCGAGTTCACACGTCGGCTGACTGAACGCAACGCGGCCCTCCAGTCTGACTACCTGTCTACCCAGTCTCGTCTCCAGGCCAGCGAAAGCGCAGTTTCTGAGGCGCGTCGGGCCGCGG